AAAAGTGAAATTATCATTGCGACGGGAATGGACTGGCCTGCCAGTTCTGACAAATGCTCGTTGCCGTAGAAAAAACAAATAGTCGAAAACCCCGTCGCTGGCTTTCAAAGTGACCTCTTCGAGCGTCATTTTGTGGCGTCTCGATGATTTCCTTACTTGAATTGCGTTACTCCTCAATGATACCCACTTTCTGTATTATCTGACAGTATTTTAGAATGCGAATAAGCACCAAAATGAATTCAGATACGAAATATCAAAATATGAATGTAAAGTGCCACGGCCAAGATATTAACCGCGCACTGAGAAAAACACTTTCAGAAACTTAACAGTGAGCTATCTTCACTTCATGCTCATTCACTAGTCTATCTTGTGGTCTTAGAAGAAACACTAGTTTGTTATTTAACGCATTACATTTCTTCAGACTGTTTTCCTACTCATAGGCCTTGTCAGTAACTGTGCTCACATTGTGGGTGGTTCCTAAAATGTTCTATAACTGGCGTAGGATTTAATGGAGCCGAAAACAGTAGTGGAATTACAGTTACGACATACAGATACCCGTATAGATCTTTCAAGCAATAACAACTTGGTCTCTGTCCTCTTTGAATTTTTGTATCTGACAGCTTGTACTTGTGACAATTTTATTTGCTTGTGTATATGGAGGCCACTGACAGGCCCTTTCCAGGCGCCGAGGCAGCTGAGAGTCGCGCTGCGTTTTTCCTTGCGCCGTTCCCACTATCTGATCGCCTCGAACAGGCAAGTGGTATACGGGCTGAATCTCTTTCATTCTCGCCTCCCGCTTTGTCCGCTCGCCCTAGCACCACCCCAATTTTACACGGCGAATCGTGTATGCGATCGACTTTCACAAATGGTAGTTTTATTCGCCACATTAAAACGGATGCCCTAGTTTTTGGCATTTCTTTCTGTCACAAAATTTAATATTACACAAATTTTCTCACGTACACTAGCAAATAAAAATATTGTCACGTACAATTTACTCATCTGGACGAGGTTTAAGGGAGACAACCCGGCGTTGAGCATTCCCGTCTGTTTCATATGGAAGTCCCCCCCCCCCCTCCCCGGGGGTTGAGCTGGTGAAACAAAGATCTTTCACTCAAGCTAGGATTTACAACTTGAGAATGCTTCTTCCTTGTTCTAATCCTTCTCTCTGCTCGCTAACTCATGATTGAAAGTCAGTTTAAAGCATGGTTAACGAGTTGAAGTTGGAAGTATAAAGAAAAGATTCCAGCTAGCGGTCAGAGTGCGTTTTAATTTTATTTAGCTTGCTCCTCCATCGCAGTCAAACGTCGTAGGCATTTGTTTTTTACATATATATCTTTTCATTTTTCTCAAATACTGAGCATCGTTTAGTTGAAAACGCGTCGCTCATGAGTAATCATATGCTTGCAAAATGGCGCCGCCCAAAACACCATTGAGAACATTTTTTAGGGAGCTTTAAAAAAGGGTAGTAAATTTACAGCATATTGGTATTGTCTGACACTTTTAACTTAACCTTCGCTTTGAAGAACTTTGCTTAGCTCTTGCAAATTTTTCTTGTTCGACTAGGGTAAAGCTTGCTCCCGGTCTATTGATTTTCTTTAGATCATTAGCGGCGGTGGACGGGGGCGCAGGTTATCCAGGCCGCTACAATTACTGTCATCATTGTAGTTGTCTGTGATTGGGATTGGTAATAAATGATGATTGTTATCATTAAAGAGCAGAATTAAGATTGCGGTTATGATGTTGACTATTATCACGACTTGTCATTATGATTGATGATTGTCATGATGATTACAGTTACTTTTCTGTGATTACGATTACGATTTTACCAACATGATTATGAATCACAAGTAAGTAAAACATCTCGCAGTAAACGTTCGTAGAAATCAAAAGGGCTCTTCATGAATTACCAATGAGTTAGAGGAAATAAAACAACAACGGAAATTTCTCTACCAAATAAAATTTCTTTCTTTCTTTATTTTTATGAATACTTATTTATTTTTCCACTATAATGCAGTATGACACTTCAGTATATACAACAAAATCTCAACCTTAAAAGACAAAGACATGCAATAACCATTAATGTAAGACATTATGAAGTAAGTTCCTGTTGATCTAAGCATCAGATTGTGTGGGTAAAATCCTTAACTGTGATCATTAAACGAAAGTGACTAAACACTACTTTCTCAATACTTTGCTATGGTACTGTTTATGATGCTGTACAAGGTGGCTCTAACTTTCACAAGGGCACCCAACGACCCAATGTTTCCAGATACGTCAGAAGTGCCTCAAATGGTTTTTGGTATGCTTTAGAAGCTTGTTTGGTTAACTTGGAGCTGCCCTGAGATCAATCTATTTGTTGGGATGTCTCCGGAAACTTAGGTCGTCTCGAAAGTTTTAGGTGGCTTTTTCGTTTCGTCCGAAACTGTTAGCTACCATGATTGGTCCGGTCGAAAGTCTGAGGACGTGGAGTAGCCGAAATTATCGGGGGCAACTGTTTTTATATCAAAATTTTCAGGACACCTTTTTGGCAATAATCGCAATTATCTTGCTAATAAAAATAATAAAAAAAACTGCCAAAATCGTTGGTAACTTAGTAGAAAAACTCTGAATATCTTGGACGAGTGGAACGGTTATCCGGAAATTTTTACCCCTTCTTGAGCTTTTGAAATTTTTAGGTGATACTTGCTCCTCCTTTGAAAATTTATTTTACAGAAAAAAAGTTGGGTGCCCCTGACTTTTAGTCTGTGGATGAATTCCTAGAAACAATAAAATGAAGCTACTGGACAGTGCTTCCTTAAGAATAGTTTTGTACTTTTGCTGTTGATACTTTTCTAAACAAAATTAAGAAAATACAAAAATAATATTATTTAACTTAACTTGGTTCTGAACTGGAACTATATTAACATACAAAATAATAGCAAACATGCTGCAAAAAGTGTGCAAAATTTTTTCACGCACAAGGGAACAGTAACAATAATTTTAACATACAGCCAGGCGTAGCTGTGAAAGAAAATAACATGCAGTTCACTGGAACAATAACAAACAGAGAGCCACTTTTTCAAAGAAGCAGTAGCATGCACTTGCTCCATATAAGGGAATCCAAGACAGTCTTCGATTCTGGATTCCATGCCATGGATTCCAGATTCCAGGTACTGGATTCCAGTCTTTTTCATAGAAAACTAGATTCTGGACTCTGGACTCTGGACTCCGGATTCCACACATTATGGGATTCCAGTTTCCGTGCGCTGGATTCCAGAGCCCAGGATTCCAGATTCCACAAGCAAAATTTTCATGGATTCTCTAACATGGGGCGAATACAGTCTCAATATATTTTAATTACTTGCTAATGCAGACATAGAGGATATTGCATGGCTACATAGAGAGGCAGATTTCAACTTTGATTGCTAAGGTGAAATCTTTTGGGTGATGTCAAGAAGATAGTATTAGATATAGTGTGCTCTCATAGTCAGAAAATGAAATGATACAATCTGTACATCCAACCAGTCGCGTAAGTCTTCGTCTTATATAGCTAAACTAGCAACAAGGGTGCATTCAATTCGGAAATCTGGATTTCGATTTTAAAATCGGGATTCTGAATTTGAAATCGAAAGCAAAATTATCCAAAAACAGATTTCGATGCTGAGATATCTGTTTTTGGATTTCCTTTTAACTGTTCAATTGGGAAATCCAAAAAAGGATTTGAAAAAGTGTCCTTAAGAACAGCGGTCTTGCCTGTGCACTCATAATTAGCAAAAAGAAGACCGTTGTTCACAAGAATAGTTTTGCAAATCCTATTTTGGATTTCCCTATCAAACGGTAGAAAGGAATTCTATGAAATGCGGATTTTCAATTTCTTAATTGAATTCCACCCTGAGTAAGGATTTCTCCGAGGTAAAATCTGTTTTCAGATTTTGCATTTGATTGCACAATCCAAAATCCAGATTTCAAAATCTAAATCCAGATTCCCAATCAAATGCAACCTAAGGTATATTTGTCAACAGTATACAATTAATTATTTAATTAACTCTTTCAAGTAGACATAACAATAAAGTTATTTTTGCAGGTAAAGATTACATAAGAAAAAATATTTGGGCCATTATATTTATTACGTTTAATGACGGGTAAAAATATAAATTTTAAGAAAGAGAAAAATTAATACTTTTTTATCAATAGCCATTTAATATTGAATAAATTTTAGTTAGGACTTTAAATCATGATGACTTCCAAGAATACCAAACACTGATATCAAATTGTCTGTTATCTGAAAACAAAAAAGACTGTGATTTTGAAGAGTATTTATCTTTGTAGTTTATCTGTGATGCACTTTGAATGCCAACAAAGTTTACCTTTCTGACTTAGACAAGTTCCACCACACTCTGTATCCATGCAATAAAAGATTGAGCAAGCTGTTTTGAAGGATTACAGTGGTTACACACCACCCCACTATCTTTAGTTATCAGAAAATTCAGCTCAAATAATTTGACATTAAAAAATAATAAATCAAAAACCTGAAAAAGCTGTTAAAAATGCGTTGTGGTGAAGGAATGACAGAGAGTGGCATAAAAACAGGGGGTAACTAGGTGTCTCTGACAAAAGAGAAGTAATAGAAAGTCAGTCTTGACTGACAACTTCCTCTTTCATCGTTTCATACATGAAAATGTAAACATGTGAGACTGCAAAAAATAGGAATACTCTTCCTATGGAAGTTTATTGGAGCTTTTAAGGGGAAGAAGGCCACTGAACGAAAACATTTCAAAGGGAAGTTTAAACCTTAATACACCCTTTCTTAAAAGGTGGGATGGAGAAGATGAAACCCAAAGAGGCTTAATTCTAAATGTAGATGCCATGGGTGTTCCTGAAAACTGCATTGATAACAACATAGTTTACTTTTCTTATTGTAGTTATCTTCCTTCCTAGACATCTACAGTAGCCTGTTTATAATATACTTTAACCTGATGTGTACATAACTCTCTTCTTTAAACAAAATTTGATTCTCCAGGTCAGCTTGTAGCTTCAACTACTCTAGTGGATTTCTTCAGGCTGACTTTCAAGAATTCTGGTTTGCTGTCTTCTACTTCCTTCTGTTTCTCAAGATCCTAAAGAGAAAGTTATAACAAATGACTTTATTGACTATACAGCGAACTGTCTCTTACAGACCACCCCAAATATTGACATCTGGGGAAGGTCCTATCCTTTCTTCGACAGTCTTTTCCTTAGATTCATTCAATTGCATGACAGTTAGCTTGATTCTACTGAAACAAAGGCAATTTGCGGTATCAACTGTAAAATTTAACTACATTCAAGGTCAAAAATGACTCCCTTGAGCCTTGTGAGTTGACTTGCGACTTCACCCTGGTCAACTATCAGCAGACAGGAATCTTGAGTTTGCCTTTTATTAATATTGTTGTGTCTATAACGACAATAACAAATAAAAGCTTCCATGACACAAGGATGCCACAATTCTTACCTCTTGTTTCTGTGAAATGCTGCGAAATCTGGACTCTAGTTCGCTATCAGGGACCTTTTCTTTTTCCGCTTTCACCGACTTCTTTTGCTCAAATTTCTCCCAAGTTTTAACAAGCTCTGGTCTACCCAGCTGAATACCTCTGAAACAAGACAAAGACGAAACAAAATCTGTCAATTTAAGGATAACATTTCTTATATTAGGCATCTCGTCAACACACCACTACTTGGAAATAAAGCCAGGGTGTGCCAGAAAAAATCCCCATGAAGCAATGACTTAGATATATACTGCTAGTTTCCTCTCTCAAGTTGTCTGGTATATTTTTGAAAAACAAAGGGAGAATCTGACATTAAATCAGAAGTCAATTAAAAAAAGGAAAAGCCCTTGAGGGGAATAGAGTTGGTATTGCACTTTATGTGGAAAGGTACTTGAATGATTTCAAACACTGAAATTCCTAGAGGGCTTAAAACCAAAAACAAGGGTAAAAACAGTTTGGGAAAAAATTGGAACAATGCTACTTTGCAGGAATAGCAAAATGATTTTTAAAGAAAAAAACAAACAGGATATTCAACACCCACACTGAGCAATGCCTTATACCTCAACTCTATGGAGTACCACATGACAATAATACGATTGATTAAAATTTTAAGACCACCAAGAACTTATGAAATGTTTTGAATTCAAGGGACTTAATGCAAGACATTTTGGAGATGGTGCCAACCTGGTTTGTAGTAAGCGCTAAATAATGAAATTCTAGAGGTGGAGAGAGGTGTTGTTTTTCTTTTGAACTCAGGAGTTGTTGGTGGAGTTGACTCATCAAGATAATCCTCTCTCGGGTATTGTGGATGGTATCGTCCTGCATGAAACCAATACAGCAATACATATTACGTGGATAAGACATGCCATTTAAAAATATTAACACCAAATGAATGCCAAACACCAATATGAAGAAATGTCAAGACAAATTGTCATATTACATGGCTGTCAGTAATGATTAACATGCCAGAAAAGTTAACATTAATTTTTCAATAAGTCATTCAGGGTGTAAAGAAAGTCAGTTTTGCAGCCTGCCATTTGGGCAAGCTGTAGTTAGCATGTACTAGCCCACAGGTCATTTCAACTAGCCCCAAAACCCTTTATGATTAGCAGCATTGATTACAATCCTTCTGTAATTTGAATTTCCTCCAAAACGGCACTTGCCCGTTAGGTAAGTTAAGAACAAAAATCGCTAGCCCGATAGCAAAATCCACTAGCCCCGGGCTATCAGATCGGACAAGATTTTCTTTGCACATTGGTAATTGGCGTGCTTTTCCAATACACCATAAACCTCCCCTTGTAAGCCTCCCCCTAATTACAAGCCCCCTCCCCCCTCCAGTTATAGTCCTATCTACATGCAAACAAAAAATACATCCTGTTGTAAGCTCCCCCAGATATAAGTTCCCCTAGAGCTTTTATTGAAACAAATTTGCTTTGTATGACTTTTTGAAGTTTAAAAAAGCAATTATATTCAAAAAGTACTTTGATCAGCACTACGTACAATGTAGCTTGTTTTCAAACACTTTTTTTTAATCCAGTTATAAGCTCCCTGGATATAAGACCCTCCCCACCCCACCCCCTTTATACACTGTACATGTAAGCCTTCCTAGGCCATTTTATCTATGCTTCAAATGTTACCTGGATTAGGATTTTGAGATATCTTTGCTGTGAGTTCACACAGAGCATCCATTTTTATCTTCTGCTGTTTTGCTGTCACGTCCATTTGGTTTAATGTCAATGGATCAACTACTGCTACACACTGAAAAAACAACAATGAACACAGAGATCATCACTGATTGCTCATCAAAATTATTTTCAATTGAAATCTTCTCATTTGAAAATAAAAATTAAAAAAGAAAAGGACCTGGCTTTAACCAACTATCTGTAGGAAATTTCACCGAAAAATACTGTTTGAAGCCAGCTGAGCTGTTTTCTAATAATAATAATATTAGAAACCAAACAACCTAAAACATTGTTTCAAGCAAGTGACGGTGGAACAGTGTGCTCACAAGACCCATTTTTTGCATACAATAAACGTTTACAACACCCGACCAGTTACCCTCTGCTAATTAAGATTCTTCCCTTTTTTTGACCACTGAAGTGTTCACTTGTTCCAAAGTTAACATCTCTTTCAAGGGATAGAATTCGTGGACCGAGCCATTCCCCAAAAGCTCTAAATAGTATTTATTAATCTTTCCTAAGCTTTCTTCGCAAAACATGCGTGCCTTCGGTCATGCAACAATTCTTATTCCCAGTTTCCACCATCTCCGCTAGGAAGGCCAGGGACCCCAACCACCCTTTTGTGTGCTAAATATGCAGAACAAAAACGGCTTGCAGATTACCAGCCTCACTGCTTACGCAAGTGAGACTAATAAGTGGAGAAGAAAAATGAGAAAAAAAATGAAGCAATGTTTAGATCAAAGGTAGGTACACTTATTCAGATGATTAACAGCTTGTCAACAAATTTAGTTGTATGCACCTCTGACTGAAGAAAATGGCAAAGACAACTATTGGATGTTTCTGGTGGCATTTCAGTTAAGTTTATTGTTGGTTCGAATAAAAATAAGTTTTCTTTGGATCTAATTCAGTCTTTGTGACACTACTTTTCCGGTTTCTTTTTGTTGCTTCCCAGTAAAATTCATCATTTCTTTGTCCATTGCAGTCTGTTTTTGTTTTACATTTAAACCTCAGCTTCTAGACGACCCAAAATTAGGTTTAAGAGGTGGTCCACAAAGTCACACCAGACAATTTTTGTAGACTGAAAAGTTTCGCCAGTCACAATCTTCTCTGTTTTTCAGTGGTGCAAAATTGTGGCTGCACGCACAACCAAGACTTTTTCATGAAATATGACATGTTACACACAAGCAATATACAACAGATTTCTAGCATTCTGATTGGTCATATTCTTTATGACCTGGAATATATAATATTGTATCACTCCTCGCATATGCATGTATAATAATGAGTCAAAGCATTTCATTTCAAGTAAGGCGACAGAACTTTTAAAGATCATTAGGTTTTAACTTGCAATTATTTAGTCTGAAAGCCTTCTTTGGCTCGTTCCCTTAGTAACTGCTACTACCATTATCAGAGTTGTTATTTTCAAAAAATTTTTATGCACACAATATCAATAGGCTATCACTAGTGTTACCCTTCAAGCTCAACTAAGATTTCTATGCAGCATCCAAAGGAAGTAGAGTCCAATAGCCCAGGACTTGTGAATTTGGCTATTGGGCTAGTGAATTTTGTTCCTACATGTAACTTGCCTGACAGGCAAGTGAAGTTTTTTTAGGGGCATTCAAATTACAGAAAAAATGTGTAACCAATTTCTGCTCATCAAAAAAGTTTTGGGGCTAGCTGAAATGAATTTGGGCTAGTACATAATAGCTACAGCTCGCCCGAATGGCAAGCTGTAAACTGGTTTGGAGGATGAACTTGGGCTAAAAATCATTTTCTTTCATATTGGGCTACACAATTTTTTTTTAATTCCAAAAACCACCTTTATCCAAATTTAATGGATTTCTCTCTGTTCCCTAAATATCTAAGGTTGATGATGCACATACATCATGCTGCTGAAGTTAATTGCTACAAAATGCTTTTATTAAAAAACATGTATCCCATAGCCACATTATGACAGTGGCATGGAATTCATGTTTGGTTGTCCATGATTTAAATGACTGTAATTCTGAAAAACTTTTGCAAGTTCAAATCTTCATGCATGTACATGTACTACTTGAACACTTACAAGGTACTTTATAATTCAATTCTGACAAAAAGCAAAACAACACAAAAGGCATTCCACCTCCATTTTTTTGTATATACAAATTGCCAGACCGTGAATCGTGACATAACTTGTTTATCTATCAAAAATTATTGACATTCTTCCTAACTTATAGACACTTCCTAATTATGCTGAGAGAAAAATCATGAAGAAAACAAAATTTGAAAAATGCGAAACGTGGTGGTTTTCAAATCACATTATACACCCTCGTGGGCTAACTGATTGGTTACTGTTGAGTACAGCTGGGATAACAAACAGCTGAAAAGTATTAGAGGACCCGTGTTGTGATCTCTGTGTGATGTAACGAACATTTTAGAGAGGGTATTGACAATCCCTTTTTTTATAACGCAAAGGCACACAAACAAGGCATGGGTGATGTTTGATTTTATCACATGAGCTTATTTGCAAAAGGACGTTTCGAACCATTGTCTAATTACTGTGCCTGCGAGTGGAATGAGAGAAAATACAGAATTCACTGACTTTAAGAACAACACAGCTCTTGCCTTAATATATCATGCACTTTTCAAACGGCGAAAGGATGCTACGGAAATTTTAAAGGGCAACAAAACGCCGTATTTACACAACAAAGAGACAATTAGAGATATTATTGTCCCAGGAAACTTTAAGCGAGAAAGCAGAACAAAATCCAGCAAGATTTTGAAGCAAATAACATGTTCTCAATCAATTATTCCAGAAACACTTAGAGAAAATCAAGAGAGTAGAAATCAACTAAATTCGCGCGTGAATCATGCGAAGCTCTACTGTCAATTTCAAAATTTTCAGAAAACAAACAAGAAGCAGATTAATCACAAACACGATCTTTTTGAAGGGAAATTTGCTTCAATATTGTTCTGCAAGAAGGCTTGGTGAAGTAAGTGTAAAAACAATCTATAGAAATATCACAGTATTACAGTTTTCGCAGCAACCGGTTCGCTTGCGACCGAAATGACGTGAGAGACGGTGATGTTGACAAGCATATTGCTCTTTCTATTTTGGTTCCTCTGAGGAATATTTTTGTCCATTGAAAATATCTATGAAAAGCTATACTCCTAAGGCATATGAGGTAGAAGCACAAGGACAATTTGCAGCCTTCACAAAGTGAATGCCGAAAGTTAGAGCAGTTTGCTGGCGGCCTTTCCCCTTCGCATAGGCGCCATACATGCATTATACACCTGTAAACAACTGAAATTTTCGCTGATGGCGTTTAGCACGTCATTCGCCTTCTTCTCACTAATAAAACCACTTCGAACGTATAAAAAAATCAATCATTTCAGCTGATGCTTGCATACTGACCTTGGACAGAAGGGTAGTTGTTGTTACACTTTCAGCTCGACCGCCGATCAGTTACTAAAACAAGAAATTGAGCAACACAACGGGAAATAGTTTGAAGGAGATTGCGCGTGAAGAAACTGGGTTCGATCCCCTAATTTGGTAAACAGTATTACGTTTGATTGTTGTGTAAATCTTGCTAATTCCGAAAAGAAAAGATTGAAAATAGCCAAGAAATCGGAAACAAAAAGCTACGAAACCATGACGCGGCCTGCTCTTAAACCACAACCGGAAAAGCTCACTGGTTTAGCCATTTTTATCTCACGAAATATTGGTCCATTCGCCCAATTATACAGCGCAGAATAATTTTCCCTGATAAATATGCAGACGTATGTAAGCCTGATATTTCATAGTAGTATTAAAATTCACTAATATATGGAAGCTTCCAATGTCACACTTGAAATATTATATCAAAGGTAGAAATTGGGATATTGCACGTTTGTGAAGTTCCTGGATCTGGAGTTTTGAACACAATGAGCATTAAACTGCCCAACTGCAGACGAAATGCAGTTTTCAACTCAAGTCATTTTCTACCGTGTTCGCGTGTTCTTTTTAGGAAATTTAAAATTCGTTTGGAAAATATTCATTATCTTTCCCGCTCTTCCAATATATAATAAAAGAAACATTCAGTAATATTGTTACGTTCGTTCAGTGAATCAGTATCGACTTCGTTCCCAAATATCTGAGCTAAAGGTATCTCGCAGTTTATCTCCAAAGAGAAAGAAAAAAACAGTTCTTATAACCTGGCCATAGCAACTAAAAAGATCTCTCTTCGGGGGTTACGATCCTCTCTAATTTTCAGAATTTTGCTGTCTACAACGGCATGCTAATTTGGTATGCAGCACAAAATACAAAGCCTAAGCAGCCTACCAGACTATGTAAACATCGAGTCATTACACGATGAAATCCCGATCAGAAATTAAATGGAGAAAGATGGCATACCTGCACTTACGTAGCTCACAACACTGACAACAGCGTAAAAAATAACAGAGTGTGCTTTTCAACTTATTGCAATCATTTATAAGGGTAAAGGTACTCTTTTTCCTGACAGGGTGACAATCACACGAAACCTTAGACACGAAACTGTTCAGACACGTGCATCACCTTAGCAAACCTTATCTAAGTCCCATGATAGTCCTGAACAATGAATTAAACAACGTTGTTTCTACCAATGAAAAACCGATTTCGTTTTTGTGCAACGTGGTGGTAAGATAAATTGTTATTTCTGCAGCGCTGTGTCTGGCAATATAATAAACGTTTCAGATTAACCGACGCGTCGGTTGTTAGCCGCGATACAGAGGCGAATATTCAATATTTTTAGCTAAAATGATTCAGATACAAAGAGAATCCTCAAAAAAAATGGGATAACTCAAACGAACTTCATGGAATAAGGAAGACGATTTATAAGTACATGCGGAAGCTAATACTTCAATCTAGTGATTTCCTCCCATTTTCAGGAACATAATTATTGAGGAATTCTACGCTTTTTTGCGATCGCTTCGTATTAGAAGCTAAATCCGCAATCTTTGTGTTTAAAATTCATACATAGTCAACTCACTCAAACAAAAAGTGTAGCTCTTTAGCAAAGAAGAAACAAAATAGTCAAAATAAAACAACGATACATGCAATACATTTCTCCGGGAGCAGGAACCTTGCACGAGTAATTTGCAATTATTTGTGCAACACACGCCGACCACAACATCCGAAGGCTTATCGTTAATTTAAATATCAAATAATATAAGATTTTTACTACGAAAACCCAATATTTCAAGAAGATGCACCGATACACTAAGAAAACACAAACAGATATTCTTCACCTCAACGAACGATGAAGGGATATATCCGATTTCGTTGTTTGATAAATTTTGCGCGGCCCACCAGCCTCCCTCGTCTTTGTAAGTGACTATAAACTTGTCTCCTTTCTTAAAACTGAGAAGACTATCCCCACACTCATCGCAGTAATCGTACTTGGCTTCGTATACTTCCATGGTCGCCCTCCTACCTTGATAGAACGTGACCACTTGTAGAGATTATCGTGTTTTTGTAGCGTCTTTGTAGCGTGAAATCGACACCCGTTTGTCGCGCTTTGTCACACACTTCAGTGACGTCACCGAATTAGCCCAATCAGCCGGGAATCTAATTCGGGCGGGTATTATCTTTGGCCAAAATTCACCAACTACTTAGCAAGTACTTGCTGTACTTTATACGGTATTATCTTCATTTTACTCTATTTGTTTATTGTTTCTTTATTATCAAAACATCGATGAAAAGTGGGCTGCAGGCCGGTCCGCTTAAAATCACTTTAAATTGCTCCATCCTGCATCCATTCATTTTGCTCTAATAGTTCTTTTACCGACGACAGGAAAGAGTTTACATGGGGTTTACATATAATGTTCCTACGGGCGCGATCCATTCAACCAAAATTCCGACCGGTGCGACCGGGAAAAGTGGTCCACCTAAAAAGGTGGACCAATTTTTTCGAAACTTTTCCGGTTGGACCGAACCGATCCATTGAGTTTTGGACCGAAATTTC